GTGTGTGTGCGGGCATGTTCAGGCACTGGTGTGTTTGAATGTACAGTTGTCTGCATGTGTGTTAGCGTGTGCGTACAGTGTGTTTACAGGAAGCTATAAATTGCTGCTCTCATCACCTTCTGGCAGCAGACGCTTTTTATAGACACACACGCAAAAATACAGAGATATCTAGACGTGTGAGTTTGGCAGAGAAGATGCATGCCTGGCTGTCTGTCTGCATGTCTGACCTTGGTAGGATGCCTATCTCTGTGTGTGTGTGTGTGTGTGTGTGTGTGTGTTGTGTGTGTGTCTTTCCTAAATAAGAGCAGAGGGAAAACATAAGAGCAGGCTTGTCGTTCTATAAATATCTGCTGTTGCTGCTGGGGAGTGTGTGTGTGTGTGTGTGTGTGTGTGTGTGTGTGTGTGTGTGTGTGTGTGTGTGTGTGTGTGTGTGTGTGTGTGTGTGTGTGTGTGAGAGAGAGTGTGTGTGTGTGTGTGTTCCAGCCCTGGTAACTCTATGTATGCCTCTATAGAAGTTAATTAATGACAAAACATTACGAAACAGCGTCCAACTTTAATCAACCTGCGAGTGAAGACAGAGGTTTTGAGTTGGAGTACAGCATCCTGATCTGCTCTCAGTTTGAAACAAGCTCTCCAACTACAGCTGTTTCAGTGCTTTCTGAGCACCTTTTAAACCCCACTTCCTGCCCAATTGTGAATTTCCAAACTAGAAACAGTGAAACAAGTCGAAATCAACAGAAAATTAATCTAATTAATCTAGTTACTGCTATTCCATGGTGACACTTTTCTTAGCCCAGTCAGTTGATAAAAATAGTATTTTGATGAATAACTTTGGCTCTTGGAAACATGCTTGGTGTCTTAGTGTCTTAACACGATGCATTCAGGCACAATCATATATGTAGGACATCTGCTTTTTGGCCAATACTACTGTTTTGGGGCAGATAGAGTTTGTCCATTCTTGGCGGAAACATGGCGGTCTCTGTTGATTACACACTAATGAATGCATACTTGCATTTTATATTCCATTTCTGCCGATAGATCCTACTAAATGTTACACACTGGACCCATAACACCAATCCTTACTGCAGAATGCTCTGTTTTTGGGAATGGTTGATGATTATATGCTAGAATATGGAAACCATGCAGTTTGTCCTTGGATGTCTTGTCTTCCATTTTCACTAAACTAAACTTCCTTTCCCTCCAGGTGAGTCTGGACGCCCGGGTTCGAGAGGTGATCAACAGGAAGATGCAGGACCCCACGCCTCACGCGTTTGAAGACGCCCAGCTACAGATCTACACGCTGATGCACAGGGACTCCTACCCACGATTCCTCTCCTCCAACATCTACAAGTCGCTCATTCACGGCGGCTCGCGTACCTCCTCCGAGTCCTAGTCCCACACCGCCTCCACCTCCTCTTCTGATCCTGCGCTTACGGGATTGACGCCAGACCATTTCATCGCTTCTCTAGCACACTCCTCCAAGTGCAGAACTTTCCAGAAATTATCCGACTCCTCCTCAGTTCACTTCCATGAATCCCAAATCTCTCAGATTACTGCCAAGACTTTCTTCTCATGTTTTGTTTTTTTCCCTCCATGTCCTAAACTTCAGATACTGTTGCCAACGTTTCCTCTTCTCATCGTTCTCTCCAGTTGACTCCTCTCTTCTGTATTCCTCATGTTGCCTCTTTAATTATTTTTAATTAATCGTCCTTCTTGCTCTTTTCCTTTCTTTACTGTCCTGATCTAATCTAATCTCTTCTCTTTTTCACTTATGAAAGAGCCTTCAAAGAAAATCAAAGCATTACAATAAAACAAGAATATTTGTATGAAATAGTTTAGTATTAGTAAAGTTCTGTCAGAAAGAATTCTATTTTGTGTCATTTGAACAATATTTTAAAGCTGCAGTAGGTAATTTTTTATAAAAATAACTTGAATACACAGGTATTCGAATGGAAAGGAAAACAGTATTGAGAAAATCTTAGTGCGGAAAATTTAATTACTATAATTGGAATTAACAGCGCCTCAAGTTTGAAAGTAGAATACGTCCACTAGCCAGTAATTGATTTCAATATGTATCCATGAATAGAGGCTGACTGATGATGGACATCAATATCTGATATAAATACATGGGCTGATATTGGTTTGATTTGATTAGCTTTTTCTGGAGCTTTCAACCGTCTTCAGTGTATGGAGTTTGCACACTTTGAACGTTCTGAGCAAACTCCATCCGCTGAGGAACAGTGTCCAGAAGGAACTGGTTCTAAAGGTCAAGAAAAGGTTAAGTAAGTGGACCTTCAGTTACTGATACTGGATTTTTGTCGCTGATAACAATATTGATATTTAACATACAATTTTAAAGGGCCCCTTAAATTAGTTTATTCATGAATTGTGACCATAATATTTTACATCTGCTGTTGAAAACTAAACCTGTCCGTGCTCTCTGGTGGACAGACTTACAGACTGATACTGATACATCCGCAGTAAGATAATATTGGTCCTGAAGATTTATCTGTCTTGTAATGGTTAAGATTTTTTTCAAGAACTAACCTTTTTGATCAAGTTAGAACTAGGGTCCCTTATATTTAGTTAACTAATTACAAAGATACATACTGAGTGGGACATTTTCAAAATAACTGTATACTTTTGACACTTTTTACTGGCCATCAGTCAGGCTCTATTTCTCTGCTGGTGTCAGTTAGGTTTTCGGCAACCACCCTGTCCTGTAGCTGCTGAGCACACTCTCTGCTTTTAACTTCTTCTGTGCTTCTACCTCTGTCCTTCTGTTCATCTTTTCATCCAATTTTCTCTCTCAGAACCTCTTGTCCTCCCTGATCTCTCCTGTTTTTCACCTCAGCGACTCCTGAACGGAGAAGGAAGTGGTCTGGATGTTATTAAGTATTTCTTGGAATATCATCTGCTGATTACTTGGGAGATTTGAATGCATTTTAAGGGGAGGAATATACACCCGTGCCATGGATTCTTTTTGTGGATTTTTACCAATTCCACCCCCCCGCCCCCCACCTGTGACCATCCAATCACCTTCAAGAGCCAATTAAAGGGGGATGTCCCTGACTTCCGCCCACCTCATCACCTTGTTTTTTATCCCACGGTTGTCTACGTCAGGACTGATGGAGAGGCAAAAGAAAAAGACCGATGCTTTCTGATTCCTTCTCCTTCTTTCTTTTTCTCTCTTTCAACTGGAAAACACAGGGTGCTCCGTCCATCCCCCGCTACAAACCACAAAAAAGTTTGTTGCTTATGTTTATTGTTTATTTATCCACTCTTGTTTGCTGGATCAATCATTTCACTCCTGTGATAAACAAACGGACGAACGTCACTTCCTTTCCGACTACTGATTTACAAACAGACAAGACGTCTATTTTTTAAGAGAAAACTATATGGAACATTTGAATTATGTTGATTTTTTTTTTTTGTTTGTTTATTTGGTTTCTCCCACTCTCTCCCCTTCCTGGATTTTTTGCAAGAAGAGGAGGATTCCTCTGAGACTGTACTGATTTCCACCCGACGCAACACCACAGACACCACAGACAGGTGCAATAAAACACTGGAGTTTGGAAAAACAACACAGACACACATTTACAGAATTTGTCTTACTATACTTCCTCGTCCAAAACATAAACCCCCCCAGCAGGACAGGACCAAGTCCACCAAAATAGCATTTATCTCTTTCGAAGTTAAAGAAAACTGTAACCTCAGACTCACTGTGTGGTATTTCACAATGTTTTTCTCAGTTAAGTATTTAATGCATTGATAATCCACTCCCATGCAGTTATAATAGAAAATAATGCATTAGTCTATTAGTCGAATAATGTTTTGGTGTTTTCTGCTACTTTAAAATGTAACTTTTGCAATTTGGACTGATGTTAAAATGTCTCTTTCAGCCCTTTTTTTACATTTCATGACTAAACAATCAAAACGTAACTCATAGACAATCTCTATCTTTTTACTTTATGCATCAGCTTTCAAATTCGAAGCTGCACCAGGCAGAGATTTTCATATTAAACTCCTAAATGCTAAAAGACAAACTGAGGTCTCAACGGTTAAATTAGCTCACACTGAATTCGGTTCTCTGCACACACTGGAAGGAAAACTCCAGTAAGTGAAGGAGGAAATTATAATTAACTATAATTATAATTAAACTATAATTTATTCTCTTCAAAAGCCAGCATTCAGTGGGAAAATATAGGATCATTTCTTTATTTCCCAACAGCTATGAACACAGTGCAGTTATGCTGCTGTCATGTCATATGGACATTAACATAACTATTTCCAATTTAATAATGCCGTTCATACCATCTAGTTGCTAATAAAAAAAACTGCATAAATATAATATACATGGCTGAGAATTTCAGTTTTTGGAAAGTTCCAATATAAAGAAAGTAAAAAGGAAGCATGGCGAACTCATATCAACCACAATTGTTCAGGATAATTAAACCCTGATTTAGTCCCATAGAAAAGCAGGCGAAAATACGGATCCCCAAATTTAAAGTCAAAGTGGTCCTAATAAGTATAGTAATACAAATACACACACACACACACACACACACACACACACACACACACACACACACACACACACACACACACACACAAACACTCACTCACACACCAGGGTGGCCTACCTGGGCACTGCTGCTGCTGACCTCTGCCTCTGTGACCTCTCACCTTTGACCTCACCACTGTCTGTCGCCCACTCGGACACCTGCTCCTGATTGGCTGCAGGAGGCTGCAGGGCTGAACTGTGGTTGGTCAATTCAGGAAGGGGGGTGGGAGGAAATCCCAGGTGCAAAAAAAAAATATATATATATATATATAGATATATTAATGAAAAACAACTAATAAAAAATATATAGAGAAAAAAAGAAGATATTATGTGAGATGGGATGCTTACACCCAGTGCTTCATGGGAAATGTAGTATGAGGAAAACAAATGTTTGTAGTTGTCTGCGGAGGCAGAAACGACAGATTTAACAAAAAAAAAAGAGATGCCTATGTCTTAACCAGACTGGTCACTCCGAATGCATTTATCTTAGTATTGTTAATGTTATTTATTTTATATTTTGTTAAAACTGTGATTTTAATTGTACATATATAAACAGAAAAGCTTGAACATCCAATGAGAAGCCGCTTCGTTTGTTCAGTGTTTGGGAGTGATTTTTCTTTTCATTCATCAGGAGTTCATCAGTTCATCAGTATGAGTGTCTCTCCTGGGAATCAAACCCTCAACTTGTCTTACTCTATTGACAAAATTTTAATCATTAAGAAAATAAAGTTTTCCCAGGTCAGTATGAGGTTAAAGGAAGAATAATTATGTTTTAGTGTTATTTGTATAATCCAAACTGACAGTTTCTAAATTGGCTTCAACCTAGTTTTTAAAATGACTGCACTGCAGTTTATTGTTACTCGTCGGTCGACATGCACAGATACTGAAATGCAACAAGCTGACAACGGCCTGGCTGATTTAGGAGTCGAGCTCTGCTTATTTTCCATCATAAGAATCCAAACTAAATGAACGCTGAGATCTGGGAACATGGTGGCATCACTAAAAAGGAGTCCAACAGATCCACTTCCTGCATCACCTTTGACCTCCCATCCTTACTGTAATTGTGGACACAGATTCCTTTGTGCAATGATTGCAACCTTTCAGGTGTGCTCACTTTCAGTTTTACCAACAAAGAAAGTGGTTTCCAACCTTTCTGACCGCTCGTGTTTCCACACTCCGACTTTATTCCAGCATTTTAGCAATAGTTAGATTGGAACATAAACCAATATCTTTAATAAACTGGAATTATCCTTCAAGGGAGCAGGCAGTTGTCAGCAGCTTTTTCTTACCTCAACTGTGTGTGTGATGGAGGTTTGAGGTTCACCCAAACAGCAACACGCCCCCGCAGCTCTTCACAGACTCTAACCACTATGTCAATATAAAGACATAAACAGTGGCGATGGAGCTCTCACCAAACATCACACACACACACACACACACACACACACACACAACAGATATTCAAAATATGTACACATCCTAAAATACCTAAAATAGAATAATGAGATAAACAAACCAGCAAATTGCTTTATAATAAATCCAAACTGACTCACCACTGCCTTAATGTAAGAGGAATGCAGTCACAAAAAGCAAGCAGACAACCTGACAGACTGCAGACTGATCAAAGTTGCCATGTGCATATTTTACTCTTTGTAGTCTCCATGAAGAAATATCAAATGCATAGTCAATATGGTTTTCAAGCAGGCACTGATATAGAGTTGCAAAGTGGGAGAAGCTATTTTGGGTTCCCCTGGTCCCGCTGGTTATTCACATAAGCAAAGTGACGTGACACAGCGTTTGGGTCAGCATTAAACTCTCCCGGTTGAACCATTAGTCCAAAATATTACCAACTGCGTTAGAAAATATCTGGTTCTTTGATAAAAAGATGAAGATGTAAGTTTGTGTACATAACAATTTCAGGGGAGAAGTTAACTACATCTCCCATGGCACATTTTGGCAAGCAGCTTACGGCCTTAATGAGTACAGATTTTACGGTCTGTGGCTTAAACGTACAGTACGTCATCTTCAGCCGCTAGGGGGTCTCTCACAAATAATAACAAATGACGTAGTTGGTTTTTAGGACCCTTAGTGGTCTTTTTGAGTATTGCAGGGGGTCCATGGAAGATTTCTGAATAAATATTTAAATAAATATGTACAGTACATTGTATTTTTACTCATTAAAATCAGAGTAATTCTAATATAATTATCTCAATTGTTAATTTGTTAGGTTCCAGTATTCAAAAGCAGGGATCTGACCAGGCACTTCCCTGCAGTTTGAACTGAAAGGGAACATGAAGTGAGCAGAGAGAGACGGAGCTGCTGCAGCCGACTCTCTCTGTTGATACTCCCAACACTCGGTTCCTAAATGAACCCAACATACACACAGGTCTGGTCTTTTTCCACAGGTCACTGTAACCTGATATGTTTGTGTTTAGGATTAATTCTCGAATACCTACATAGGTTTATACACAGTGTATGGATACACACGTCATACATCATACTCATACCTCCATATTCTCATAAACACTTTATCTGTCGATCCATGTTTCCACTCTCTAGTTTTCTGTTGTTTAACGCGGATAATCCTCGCTTCTCCTGCTCACCACTTTCAGCACTCTTGCTGTTTAAGTCAATGTCAAGTCAGAATGTTTTTTTAATGCTTTACTGTTTCAAAGTTAGCTGAAGATTTTGTTACTTTAATATGTGTTAAACTATTGAACCACATTCAATTAGAAAAATATTGCATCGCAGCCAAATAGTAGGCTACTGAATATAAAAGTACAGGAAAATGTTAATTTTATCTGGATTAAATTATTTCTATTTTTATTCCAGCTGCATAAAGTACATCAAAACTTTTTTTCTGCTAGTTTATGTGTTTGTGTTATGAGACATAAAAAACATATCCTCTTAGTCTAGCAGTAGTAAATGTTATATTTTGGATTTGTAAAATTCCTAATATTTTCATAACAATTGTCCTGAAAAAACTATTCCCTTGGCCTCTGACCTAAAGAAAATTGGTTCTATGGGTAACCACAAGTCTCCCTTTTGGAGATCTGCCCACTTTATGCTATTTACGTGTAGTTTTGGGCAACATCCATCCGTTTTTTCTGCTTACTGGCATCCATAAACAGTATTAGAATTGCATAAATTGGGAATGACTGGGAAGCTGAGACACATACTTGATGCCACCCCTGCATAAGTCAGTGCCACCTGCTGAAACTGTACATATACAGTATCAAACCAGAATTTTTCAGGAATCTGTAGTCAAATTGGCTGGTTGAATTTGCCATCACATTGTCTTTCAGGTATGATTTTTCACCCATAACCGCGCTGTAAACCAAATACGGTCAAAATCGAAAATGAAATAAAATGACACGATCAGTTTGTAACCTGTTTACAAGCTCACTTGGTAACCATTCCTTTCTCTGAGCTGCCCTGTGTTCTGTCTAAACCACGACTTCAGTCTGTTTTCCATCCAGGAAGGAGTCACCTAACAGAACCTGGTATCACACAGGCCTTCCAGGGTCTCTCCACCTTCCTCCTGCTCTCTCCCCGTCTCTCCCATGCTCATGTATGGAAAGAGCTCAGCAGTGTTTCCACAACAAACACAACAGGAGCTTTCTCTGCTCTGCTTTCTCACCACTTTTCATCACCTCTGTCAACACGCTCGCACCACCAGCGTCATTTGGAAAATGCAGATGACAACCCAGGTTTATACTTGAGTCAAATGTGATTTGTTTTTTTGTTTTTTTACTTGTAAATCTCAAAACTAGGTTACCCATAATGAATAAAGGTTGACAAGCAGGAATTTCATCAGCACTGATCATGTCTACATGTTCTGTAATACTTTGACTCTTACTCTAAATACTGTAAGAGGAGACACTCTCTTTGATATAGGAATATTCCACTTGATGTATTTGCTGCCACAGTTACCTTGTTCAATTTAAGGTGATCAGAAAATGTCATTTATTAAACAATAGTACTGCATTTTGCAAAGAAGACATAATTAGAGACAAAGTCAGACAAACTGCTGACTTTTCTTTATAGTGACAGACATTGTTTGATAAACTGTTGAGGTTTTAAAAGGCGACTTAAAGATCCAGTCTGTAGGATTTAGTGGTATCTATCGGTGAAGTTGGAGGTAGCTTCAAACCTCCCTTCCAAGCGCGAACGAGAAACTACGGCAGTTGCGAAATACGCCAACGCCCCTATCTACAGCCAGTGTCTGGTTTATCTGTTCTGGGATACTGTAGAAACATGGCAGTTCAACATGGCAGACTCCATGGAAGACGATCCCCGGTGTCTATGGATGTAGATGGCTGAAAAACACCACGATTCCTATTCAGGTGATTATACACGAATGAAAACATACCTATGAATATTATATTCCATTTCTGCCAATAGATCCTCCTCTATGTTACCTTGAACATCACTTGAAAATTGTGTTTTTGCCAATCTCCAGTGGTTTAACTACTCATCTTGTACCACTGTCAATAGGCTGTAACATCACTGGTGGGTGTGGTTACAGGTGGAAATGACCACGCCCATCAGGGATGCTGGTTGCGGTCAGAGTTGAAACAGACTTGAAACTCGCATCCAGAGAGGTCAGCCAAACACTCCATCGTTTTCTCTTCAATATAAAGAGAAAATACATAATACTTATCAGTTTGTTGATGTGAACCAGGCTGAGTATAGCTACAGTACAGTACACAATACAGACAGCTTTGAAAAGTTGTTACTTCCAATAATATATGGGGGGGAAAAAACTTAATATTGTGTGAACTACCAAATACTACCAGTATAGTTTTGTATTTGTCCAAATAGCAATATAATATACAGTAAAAAATAATGATATCACTAAATAGACAAAAAGATGTTGCACTACCCTCTAAAAACGTCAATGAATTTTGCATCTAGAATCAAATCTGCATCACTCACAGTAGTGGAATACATGTGTGAGATTTGTATTAAATTTATGTGTAAACTAGTTCATGAGATCATTCTCATTTTTAAATATTGTAAAAATGCTCAATCTCACAATTGTAATGAGAAATGTAAATAGCTATTGGATTTGCATTAAAGTCAAATCAATTTCTTCTTCAAGGCCTAACTCTCTACTGTAACAGAAACTGGATGTCAATGTTGGTAATAACTCCCAGATTGATTATCTGCTGATATACTTCAATTTAATTCAACTTTATTGTCATTTAATACAATGTGCAGGCACATACTGTATGTAAACAAAAAAGGATTATAGAATTAAGACCAAGACATGTACTCAGCAAGACATTTTACAGTTGAAAAATAAACTGATGACACTTTTTCTAATGCAACTCAAACATATCTTTGGTATTTCTCTAATTACATTGTTTCTTACTTTTCTTCCGACATATACAGCAATATTTGACATAAAATAATTTAATAATATTCTAACAAATGTTATTAAAATATGGGAAAAAGCTGTTTCGCAAACCATTAAAAACCACACAAAGCAGAATGAAGAGAAGGAAACTACAGTGTTCATCGTCTTAATCCAAGAGCAACTTTAATATAAATGTTAAGGGCAAAATATGTGGCAGCACAACATGGCAAAGAAAGGCACATCCACTGTTTCCACAACGCCTAAATGTGATTTCAATCTGGCTTAAAGCTTCATCTATAATAAGAAATAAACTCTAAGTGCTCCATACAAAACAAATTTAACCGATTGACAACAAGAACTGGCACATTTGTCTCTAAATATATTACAGCTTTTATATATATATATATAAAAAGAAATTATACAAAATAAAGAAAAAACTATATTCATTTTTTAAATCCACATTCAATTCACTTTAGTCAGTTTGCTTCATGATAGAATAACACACACACACACACACACACACACACACACACACACACACACACACACACACACACACACACACACACACACACACACACACACACACACACACACACACACACACACACACGTCTTCTTCAACAGAACTGGAAGAAAGACAGAAAGACAGATTGTGATTAAAGATTCATCAGTGAAAACAACTTAAAATTAGACCTCAATTTTTTTTAAATGCTGAAAATATGGAACCATTGTTGTAGCAAAACTATTTACAAATGTGAGTGGAGAGTTGTGTAACTGTATCTCAATCTGTGTGTGCGCAGTCAGAGATATATAAATGTGTACAGGAATCTGTAAATATGTACTGAGATTAGTGAATGTGAACAGGAATCTGCAAATGTGTGTTCACAATCCATGTGATTGTAATCAGATTTGTAAATGTGTAAAAAAAAAAAATTTACAAAACTGTATTCAGATCAGAATCTATTGAGATCTTTAAATGTCGAGACAAATCTGTAAATCTAGACATATATATTAAATTGCTGTGAAATCCAAGTATTTGCTCCAAGAGCTGGAAATACAGACAGTTCATGGGTTACAACTCAGGTGGGACTCTTAATTGGCTCATTTTACACCTGACTTTTTTCCAGGATATTTGGTCATTCTAATCAATTTCCAAGTATTTCCATGACCTGAAAAACTAGTCTCTAAATTTCCAGATTTTCCAGGACACAGCGTAACCTCTGATTCTTTTAGCACATAGTTTTGCTTTTACTGCAGATTTTCTGTTTGGTTCAGGTTCAGGCTCCTTTAGGCTCTTTCTGCAGGCAGCAGTTTTCAGCAAACAAGCGGGGATAACCCCACTGAACGCCTCCTGCCCAGCACCAAACAGCAGAGAGACTGGTGGCGACCAAACCAGAGCTAAAAGGAGGGTGAATACTGTGACTAAGACTCATCACCAGCCAACATAATTTTTTCATTAATTGCAGCCATTTTGCGAATTGCAGCCATTAATTTAGTAGAGACCTCATTTATTGATTTCATTATCGATCTAGCTTATTACGATGTGCTACGAATTGCAACCGATTTTATTAGCCGATTTAGTTACAAACCAACTAGTAATGAATAACAGTATTTTTTTGTGCATTGTTGGGTTAAACTATTTCACTCCAAACTTTCCCATCTATCTATATCAGAAACAATAACTGAAAAACATTTTTATTACACAGAGGAGAACGTTTTCTCCCAGAAATTATATCATTAAAGCTGAAGCAAAATTACACTGAGTTTAACATTTAAAACACAAGATGCCATTTTTAATCTTCATGTAATGTTGTCATTTATAAGAACTTCTTGAAAACCTAGTCTTTTAAATTACGTATCTTTGGATATCTGCAGTGTTTGTTTGCAAAGATGAGAGTTCCTGAGGTCAGAATTTTGATTCATTTCTGTTTAAAATGTCAGAGCCTCACCACCAAGTTTCAGATTCTCAAAGTGCTGAAACAACAACAACAACACACACACACACACACACACACACACAGACAGACAGACAGACAGACACACATACACACAGACCATCGGCTTCTCAAATTAGTCGCTTCACCTTGACCTAGAGCCTGGAGCTAAATATGGGAGGGAGGGAGGGACCGGAAAACCTATGAGGAGAGGGAGGAAGGAGTAAATATGGAGAGGGATGAGATGGAGGGAGGAGGGTGAAAAGGACAGTGGGAAGGTATGAGATGTAAACAAGGGAGAGAGGGGAAGGAGCAAAATGTGAGGAAAGTGAAAAAAAGAAAAGAAAAAGGAGAAAAATAACTAAACAGCAGCGCTGAAGGTGGGACTGGGGAGGTAGAGGAGCAGAGTCCAGTCTCTGCTGCCATCTTGTGGTGAGAGTCTGTTACTGATGTTCAATCATTTAACCTTTCTTACAGCGAGTACTTACAGGGTAAACACAGATGTGTTGTGATTTAGTTTTTTAGTGAAGTAAATAATGTCCTAAATATCCCAGAATGCCTTTCATCATGAGAGATGATGGAATGAGTTTGATGACATTTGATAAGAAATCTAACATCAATAGTTTTTGTACCTTTATACTTTTTTAGAACAGATTGCATTTATTTATTCATTCATGTATTTATTTTTATTTTTTTGGTTCTGTTAGCGTAGGTTTCACTTTTTCTCACTTTCCAAATGGGGGTGGTGGGAGGATGAGTTCATATTTATGTGTTCATACATGCACGAGCAGCTGTATCTGTGTACTTTATTGTATGCATTTGTTGTTTTGCTTACGTGTTTTTATTTATTTTTTCTGTACGTTTAGTCTGAAACATTTTGAGCTCTTCGTTAATACTGTTTAATACTTCTTTACATTAGTGTTTGTCTCTTTACCTTCCATCGGTTGCCGCAGCTGTTACACAACACAAAGGTGGTCATGGGCTCATCAGCACTGCGGGTCTGCACCTATATCACACACACACACACACACACACACACACACACACACACACACACACACACACACACACACACACACACACACACACACACACACACACACACACACACACACACACACACACACACAAAGTGGAGTGAGAAACAGCATAATCAAGCATTTTCATCAAAACTGTATCCAAACAGTTTGTTTGTTTGTTTGTTTGTTTGTTTGTTTGTTTGTTTGTGTGTGTGTGTGTGTGTGTGTGTGTACCTGGGTGTATGAGCAGCTCTTTCCATGACACTTGTTGCAGATGAACATGTCCGTCTCGGTTCCTCCGACCTTCGACAGCTGATGCTCTCTGATGGACTCTTTGGTCAGAGCCTCTCTGATCTGCTTCAGCTCTGCACTCGCCATCTCCTGCACGCACACACACATCACCTATAAATGCATTGTCTGAATGAACCTTTACATTCATACAGACAAGATTCAAATACTCCATCTGTGTTTTGGAGCGGTACGGAACTTCTCTGGGGTAAAGGAAACCTGCACACACACTGGGGAGGTAACCATGAGACACAACATCTGCAGGACGTACCTCAGCAGTCATGCTGGCGATGCGTTGAGGCGAGATGTTCCCACACAGGACATTGCGCCGCAGGTCTGGATTCTTCTGGTCCTTGAGGTTGGAGATGCGGCTTCGTAGACGGGTTTTGTATTTAATATCTGTCGACTTAAACTCCTGGAAGATCTGTGGGCCACGACGAGCAGTCAAGGACAAAGACGCTCACAAGGAATGAACAATCATAAATGTGGACAGTATGTACCGAACATATACACACACACACACACACACACACACACACACACACACACACACACACACTGAAATACAAGACAAATAACTGGCTTAATAACATCAGGGAATGGGGATGTGCTTACTGACAGGTTTTTGTATCCAAATTAAAATTGACTTGACTTTTTTGTTTACAAAGAAACAGGCTTTTACGTGAGGAATCACAGAATACATTAAGAACCACAGCCTTTCTTGGTGGCCTGGATTAGGGTATCTTCTGGGGGATTCAATGAAGGCACAACAGCTTTTCTATTCTTACGTTTCTACCATTAGAGCCTCAGCTGTACTTAGGCCCTGATGTGCTTTGAGCCAACTGCTTTATGTTCAACTATCTGATCATTTAAAGGATGCAGTTCGTGGTGCTGATGAACTGCACTGCATTACACAGAGAGGTCTTTCTGTTGTTCTGCCTACCCTCATTGCTGTAACACACTGTGGGTTAACTGTTGAAACTGCTGACAGACAGATAGACCAACACGGCTCTCACGCTGCGAACACGGCTCAAGTGTTTATCTAACAAAGTGAAACACACCCTGTCAGTGCACTCAGATTAAGATCTTCCACTCAGGTGTGAAATCCTGTTCTGTTTGTTCATGCGTATCTTGTGTAGTTAAAGTTACACAGCGTGACGTGTCGATCACGTGAAAGGATATCCTCTTCAATTTGCGCTGCAAGGTGCTCACAGTCGACTCCAATGGTCCGGTGGTCATCTGGAACACACACAAAATACTCTTTATAAACACATTAAAAGCTTCAGTAGCTTCAGTCTAGAAATACCATCTGTCAAATCTTTGCTCATTCGTTCTCTTGGGAATTAAAAGGTCTCCAGGTCTTCTTTTTTGTTTTGGAAAACGCCATCTAGAAAAAGGATCTTCTCACCATCAGTTTGCAGCGCTGCCACCAGCAGTTCTCGACACTTGTTCCGCACACTGTCGGTGGTGACGGGGGCGGGGGGGAAGGAGGTGACCCGAGGGGGGAGGGTTGGCGTAGTAGGGGTGGTGGGGGTGGTGGGTGTGATGGGCGTGGTGGGTGTGGTTAGGGTGGTGGGGGACCCCCCGGGCTTCTTACTGCTGAGCAGGAGGAGAAATGACGCAAAAAGAAGTGCAATAAGGTTTGGAGTGAGAGACACAGGACACGGTTCTGGTTAAAGGAAGACTGAATCCTCTTCTGTTACTAAAGACACCATGAACTGGAAAATTCACTTTGTGAGAATTGGTCGATCTTTAACAGTGACCTCGTCACTGTGTGACAGACCTTTTCTCGCTGCTGCCAGAGTCCTTGGAGGTGGACGATGACCTCACAGGAGAGCCTTCCTTCTTCTTCTCCTTCTCCTCTGAACCGTCTGCGAGAGGAGAGACAGAACAACTCAAACTGATTTTTAGCTGAGCCCTAAAAGTAAGAAACATTACGCAACAGACCCACAGCATTTCACCCATCCAATCCAATCCAATCCAATCCATTCTTGTTATCGAGACTGCCCAGACTGACAGCTTCATTGTGGGTTGACGTGCTTCTCTGATGTCATTTGTCAAGAAAAGTGAAATTGTGAGAATTAGCTGCTCTTCTATGTTTGATATCAGTAGAAGTTGAATCTCTTTGGGTTTGGACCGTTGGTGTGGCAAAACAAGTGGTTGAGGATGTCATCTTGGACTCTGGGAACTTGTTATGGTCTTCACTATTCTAACTTTTTAGAAACGAATTAGATTGCTAGAATAATTGACACAATTCATTGATATAATAACTCCCATAACCCTGTCCTCACTCTTTCCGGAACTGTCCTCACACCCGTGGGCTAAAAACTCTATTGGGTCCTCACAAAGACAGAAGGACAAGAGTACACAACACACACAGACTTACCCAGCAGTTTCTTCCAGGATTTAATGAGAGCCTTGGCCAAGGTCTGAACTTCTTCATCTGAACTCTGTTTCCTCACCGCGTTCACCGACATCCCGACTCTGGTCGACTACAGAGACAGAGAGGCAGAGACAGAGACAGAGACAGATACAGAGAGACGGATACAGAGACAGAGAGAGAACGAGAGAGTGAGAGAGAGAGAAAGAAAGAGAGATACAGAGACAGAGAGACAAATACAGAGACAGAGAGAGAGAGAGACAGATACAGAGACAGAGAGAGACAGAGAGACAAATACAGAGACAGAGAGGGACAGATACAGAGACAGAGAGAGACAGAGAGAGAGAGACAACATTGTAATGTAACATGTACGGATGGGAATTGATAAGAATTTAACGATTCCGATTCCATTATCGATATTGCTTATCGATCCGATTCCTTATCGATTCTTTTATCGATTCTCATTGGGTGAGGGAATAAGTACAAATTTGTTTGTTTGTATTAACTCGCTTTAATATCTGATCAGAAGACACAGCACAGAGTATACACAAATTATGTGTAGCAACCTCAGAACAAACCTAAAAGTAGGTGAGCTACTTCTCAAAGTAAAGTCCAGGGACCCATAGCCTAGGGCAGTTTTTCTCAACCAGTATGCCATGGCACGCAAATGTTTGCCTTGAAAAATTATCAAGAGTGCTTTAGGATTAGGAATTTGTTAATTTTCACATTAATTGGTCCAGAGAAAAAAATAAATGTTTGGCTTTTAAGCCCAACTGCCATTATGTGCCATACAAACTAAAAACACAGACTGAAATAGGGTGGCCATTTCCTTCACATCAAAAAGGAGGACACTCTGCATACACGGGGACACGCAAGCAGGTATTTGTTTGGTATGATCCGGTTTTAAATTTTAATGTTTTCCCACCAGATTACATAAAGGTGCATACACATACCACATAGCTAATAATAAATATATAAGATACAGTTCATGACAACGTGCCCTCCAATTCAGATTACATAGGTCTAATAAACATCATACAGAAACTGTTCTTAATGTTTTTATCTGGATAGATAAAGGTTAACCTTACGTTCTCTGTCGCTGAGAGCTTGATTGACAGCCTGGTGGTAGCAACTGCAGTGAGTGCTTGTTGTGATCAACACATGGCTTATTTGAATATTTAAATTAGCCATGTGTTGATAGGTCACCACAATGTAACCAATGAAATTACTTATTTTGACACACATTTTTAGCCAATAAGTATAATCATTTTTGTGCAGAAAAATGATCTTGTCATTTAAAGTTACCTTCGGCATTGATAACAGATGGTGTCCCATTAGCTCCGCTGCGGCTTGACTCACTTGTGTCGCTAGGTAGTAGTGTATCAAACACACGACAGTCCTGCAAATGAATTGATGCTGTGTGGCCAAATGTTTCTGCATACTGGAGGTAGTTCCCCCCTTTGACGAAATGGAAACTTTACAAGTGTTGCAAGTGACCGTATTGTCGTCTTTTCACGTGAAATATAACCAAACTTTAGAGCGGTTCTGCCTCGACGCCATGTTTGCTGCGGTCTGAACCAAAACAACACAGCGCGTGTGTGACGTCATGACGCATTTGCAACGAGCGGAACCGATAAGCGGAAACGTTAAGCAGGCACGCTAACGGTTCCAAGGAATCGATTCACTGGGCCCCGGTTCTGAAGAAGAACCGGTTCTCGATTCCCATCCCTAGTAACATGTAGCCCAGAACAGACAAACCAAACACTGGCTCTAGATATCTATAATCACGAGTTTCGCGGCCACCGTCGGTTCTCCTACACACTGGGAACGCGAGCAGTATCCAGTTGGTTGCAATCTGCAACTTCACCGCTAGATGGCACTAAATTCTACAAACTGGTCCTTTAAGCTTTTCTAGTACATCTGATTGATCCAATATCTGTAGGCGGGTACTAAAAATAGCTCATAACATCACTACAGTTCCAACAGCCCCACAGTTAACCAGCCACACCTCCTCCTTTATATAACGGATACTTTACGACTTTAACATGTTTTCCTCTTTAATGCATGTCTATATACTGGATAAGCTCTGTAGGTGAAGGTTGGACATCGGTTCAGTTGTATCAGGTGTAAATAGACATGGTGGAGTTGTAATGGAGACACTGGTCTTTAGCTCTAACAGAGACAGTTGAATCACCACCACAGCAGTGCTGGTGCACAGGAGGAGTGCATGCAGCTGCTTGCCTAAGGCAGGGATGTTTTGTTTTCACTGACATGTAGACACATGGATACACAGACATGGGATACAAAAGAAACAAAGCTGATCCTGTAATTGAATACTAACTCAGATATGAGCTAATATCTGGTGTACTGTGTGCATTTACATTTCGATTTTTATAGTACTTCTTTGGTGTTTTTCACCCTGGACCTTGTTGTCCCATGTTTGTGTCAAATGACTAATGGGGACAACAAGTTTTGAATCTGGTGCAGTACTGCGTGCATGGACAACAACCATAATCCTTATGGGCAATTGTGCACCATCAAATACATCAATTAAAAGTGATTGCTTTTGCCGCTGACTGGCTCAAATTGTTATTTTAAGTGTCTGACAACACTACCCTACAGAGAATCCACAAATCCACAAATCTCTGAATTTAGAGTTCCCCTGCACACATTCTCCTGTCAGAGCCCTGGTCGGAGCCGCTGTAAATCACCTTGGTACTCCCTGTTGTCAAAGTAGCCTCCGTTGGTCTCGAAGACTGCTGATCCCCCAGCCCAGAGCCTGAAAACCTCCACCTTCTGGAAGTCCAAAGCTTCTCGGCAACGACCACTAACACTGGCGCTGCACTAGCCCCCAGTCTGGGCTCCTCAACTAAGAGGACTGCTAGCTGCACAGCTAACTGTTCTAACTAGCTAATGGCAGCTACAGTAAGCGGCGGGTAGCAGTTACTCTGGGGATATTCTGCACCCTATTTGCCAATTCCTTCACGTTGCACAGTCTTAGTAGTGGTGCTAGTGGGCATACTGATGAGAGTGCTACTGCTGGTAACAGCAGTGATAACTAATGAACATCAGGTTGTGTCTGACTGAAGGTGCACATGGAGGTGACATGGGAGAGGGGGTGGAGTTAATTATAGAGGTGGGCGATATATATCGTTTGCGATAATATCGTCATTGTTGTTTTGACGATGTGCAAATCTCCATTATCGAGTATTTAAATTACTTCGCCAAAAATACTGAAACGCATGCGGAAACTCCTCACATCCACTTAATACACGGTGCAGCAACGCTCTCTACAGCCTGGCAGGATTCAGTCACATGACTAGTGGGCCTACGAGATCACATGACGTGATCACATGACCTCTCGCTAGCATCCTCCTTGCAACAGTTTAGCAGTGCGTTGTGATGGTAGAGAGAAAATGGAAGCGCCTTTAGTCCCTGAAGCTACCGGTACTTCAGATGATTTAGTGACGTGGGTCTGCCTCTCTGGCATGGAAATGGTTTAGTTTCGAAAAGACTTTTTTAGCTCAGCGCTCAGAGCGCTTCAAGTTGAAATCTGTTCAACTTTTAACACCACTGGGCGCTCGGAAAATGAGTTTTTGAGCTCTCTCAGCGCTACAAACGCGTTTGGTGGACACAAGCCCTAACTCAGACAATTCCAATCACATTTTAAAGGATATCGACTGATTATCGTTATCGCCAAAATCCCAAACAATAACGAGATATTATTTTTTGCCCATATCGCCCACCCCTAGTTAATTACCTGCAGGGTCTCCAGAGACATCTTGATGTTCTTCAGCTCCCTCAGCAGGTCGAGAGCTCCGTCCTGCAGACAGAATGAAAACCTTTGCATCACTTTCTTAACCAGTAAATGCGGTGGGGGAGGTCAACTCCACAGCGAGCAAACACCCAGCGGTATTTAATCTTTTGTCAATAATGTGTGTCTGATAAACAGGAATGACAATGCATCCGTCTCTGCCTAATTTGTCATGGACATCATTCATTTAACCAATAAAGTCAAGGTGGCATTTTGTATTGCATGTGAAGATTCACGGTTTCTTCCAAACATTCCCACCCACAGCTGGCCAGCTGTCACCCAGACGCCCGAGAGAATCATTCAATGTGCACTAAAGGTTACAGAGAGAGTGATGGAAGCACAAGATTGAATTTTTGAAGTGGAGCTTTCTCTGGGAGGAGCTCTGGCTCTCCGCTGGTCAGGAGGTTCTCACTTTAATTTATGAGGTCTGGCTTTAGAGAGGAGGTCAGATGAGTGTTGAAGTAGAGGCTGTTAAAGAAAGGAAAGACGAGTAACAAACTGTTGTGTCATCCCTGCATATATTCCCAAATTCCCCCACATCTCTGTGCAAACTGTGAGAGCAAAAGTCCCCGAAGGTATAAAACAACACAGAACTGTTATCACTCATGTGTAATCACTGATAATTATCTGTAAGCCTAATTTCCACTGCTACAGTTAGCATTAAATGGATGTAGACAGTTTGCATATAAAAACTGTAAAGAGACAGCAAAGAAATTAAATCGCATGGTCACATTCACGTCTGCTGCACTGGCTAGATCACACAAATGTGAAGGGCGGGGGGGGGGTCATAGCAACTGCAGTGTCACTGATACATCCTACATGCATCTGTAAACCATCATCAGATGTCAGATTTCAGAAAGGTAGTGATTTAATACATAGTGATTATGTTCCAACATAGACTGTAAAGTGCTTCAAAAACATGAAATGAAAATAATTGATGTCAGCTATTTTGACAAGATTATTTCCAGTGAATATTTTTAGGAACTTTTCATACATAATACAGGCAAAGATTTTTATTTTTTAACAATCACACATGCTTAGTAGGTTTCTTTTGGACAGAGCCAGTGTTTTTTTCTCCTTGATGCTTGGCTGTGTATCAGCTATTTGGTTGTTTTAACAACTTTAAGACTTTTCTAAAGCAGGATGAGGCTGTTTAGCATAGAGTGACGGCTCTGAGAACATAGTTTTGTGTTCAGGTTTGGATCTTAAATAATAAGCTAAACTTTAAAAATAACAGTTTCATTTAGTTTTCTTCACAGAAATGAACACAATTTGGAGATTTAGGCCTACGTTTTCTTACATTGCCCCCATGAAGCTTTGGTGCCACCTATCAGGGATCCCGACACTAGAAGGTTGTTTTCACTTCCATCTGCTGGAAGAGGGAACTTTCTCTGAGCTCAATCAATCTGACTTTAACACATGAGCATCAGTGCCTGAAATGGGTTGGTAGCTTAACTCTCAGGAAACAGCAGTGAAAATGTCCTCGTTAAAACAGGGTCAGGGATTTGTTGTGTGTTTAGGGTTAGTGTTGAGCTGAATTAGGCTCCTGCAGGGGTGTCTTTAGCATCCAGGAGCCTAGAGTAGTACTGGCCACCCCAAGTGCCCATTGTCCTTACTTCTTCCACTCCGCACTGTCTTTCAGAAATACATTTTAGAACTGGCATGGCCATTTTCAAAAGGTATCCCTTGACCTCTGACCTGAAGATATCTGAATGAAAATGGGTTCTATGGGTACCTACCATTCTCCCCTCTGCAGACGTGTCCACTTTATTCTATATATATATATATCCCTGCAGATTTGGGGCAAAAACATTTTGTTTTTTTCACGTGGTATAAATGTGTTTTCGCCTAGTGCATTTGAATATTTCTGCAGACTGGGGGCCCCGAACAGTGTTGGAATTGTATAAATTGGGAATGAATGGAAAACTGAGACACATACTTACTGCCACCTCTGCATGAGTCAGTGGTTTGTTTTTTTAAAACTTAATGATTTTATGACTTGTGTTTAAGTACATTTTTTGTGAAGCACTTTGTAATGTGGATTTTGAAAATGCTCTAGAAGCAAAGATTATTATTATTATTATTATTATTACTACTACTTCTTTAAGAATTAACAAGGGAATGGAACTTTTTTGTGGAAAAACCACATCAGACATTTGTCTTAAAAGATGTCTGTAGGAACCCTTTAAGACCTTGTTGGTGGTCAGCATACAGGGAGGTCAAACTTCCCGGCTACCCAAAGCTTTCTAGTGTTTTCAAAATAAAACTCTGCATGTTTGATGTTCACTGTCCATTACAATAGCACAGAGTACACAGAACCTTCCAGGGCACATGTTAAAGGCTGAAGCAGTCAGTGCTGCGCTCCCTCTTCCATATTTGCCTGAAAACTACACTTCTACATTTAAAAAACACCATATTTTAGAAATATATCTGACTTCCTTAATACAGTAACGGAGTCGCTTCTTTCTCTGCACCCACATGAATGTAATAACCTGTGGAGTCCATAAACTCTGAGCTAATTGGCTCAAGGTGCGGGTGTTTCAACTGGCAGCCCTTCCACCAATAGCTGCAGTGATTTACAGCCAAAATGTTTCCACAAACCGTCCCGGAGCATCCGCAGCAGCTCTCTGGGGGACATAATGAGCAGAAATGCGTGAAGCGTCCCGCACGGAGCAGCCGGCGGACTTTAAACTGTCCGCCGGGCTTCCAGAACCTTCCCTCTCTCCGCAGCCCGGGCTCATCACCTGATCGCCTGTTTTTCAGCGGGGTTTGGGGTTTTTTTTTTGCACTCACCGTGTTCTTCTTGTGCACCATTTTATCCAGCTTTTTGGCGATGCGCTCCACTTCCTGGTTTTTAGCCATTTTGAGCGGATTCCTCCCGTCAGTTCTCCTCCTGCGCCGCGGTGACAAGCCCCATTGATGAGGAGGAGGAAGAAACTCTCCCTGTCTCTCTCTCTCTTCACTCTCTCTACGCAGCCTGTCTGTCTCCTTCTCTCCCAGCTGCCGCCTGCCTCTCGTTTGTTGTTGTGTGTCACCGTGGGACGCCGGGAGTTGTAGTTTTTGGTTTTGGGCCCTGTCCAAATTCAGCTCAGGGGCGACTTGTCCAGAACTTTTAAAGGAGACTCGACAGTCCAGCAGGGTCCTTTATTTTATTATCTATATTTTATTATTCATGAATCATTAAAACCAGCGATGGCTGATAATGGATATGGATCTTTATTTACATTTTATTTTATTTCTATTGGTGAATTAGGTTCATTTTGTGAGGCTGTTGCATCATCATCCTGCTGCAGGATCTATATATATACACTAAATGTGGTTTTCTTAATTTATCCAGCCTTCGGATTTCAACCAATAATCCAGTTTACACGACCTCCACGAGAGAGGACTGTCCACGTGCAGCACTCTCAGCCAATGAGGTCCTTCCCTCGGCTGTCCCACGGTGACGTCTCGGCGTGGACTCTCCTCAGGACCAGATGACGTTCATGACACAGTCCAACTTTATCCATACAGCACATCACTGATCACAGCAGATCAAGAAAAGCCTTTAAAACGAGCCTGAGTCTGTTGGGATGGAGATCAGGATCTGACCCTCCACCCAGAGAGAGTTACTCTGCTACTGCTCTCAGGTTGATGACATTATGATGACATTTCCATTTTCATGCTTTATTACGTCTCTGACATTTTGTTACTCACTTAAGAAACATTGTAACTGCGTAACGTTGATCCACATTGAACACGCTTTAGTTCTTTGTACAGCACACACAATGCATAGATTCCTCTTTTTTCTGATCTAGTTTTTATCTTTTAATAGTGTAGGTCAGATGGACAGATAATTATCAGCCTTTACATAATTGGCTAATACACATGAATGATTTTAACATCAATATACAAGCATTCAACTTCCTGACAGAAGCTTTATTTGTCCACTTCAAGTGTTAAAGTTCCCCCTTTTTCTTCCTACGCCCTAAATGGCACATGGGTAAAATAATAAATTAATTAATAAAGAAAGAAACAACACCAACACACAGAGACACAAAAAGAAACTAATGAAGAAATAATAGATATATTTGAGAATATATATATATATATATACTGCGCACACACACATATACCTGCACACATATAAACTTAAATGGCAAGAAATCAAAGAAATAAAATAAATAAACATCAGTAATAAAGAAGCTGCCACAAAAGAAACAATGTAGACCATATCTTGATGATGGTATGAGCATTTATACCGACTGTCATTATTTCATAAAATGTAACTTTCCCCAGCGCCCTGGACAGGCTATCAGTTGTATTTCCCTTCACATCATTGATCTGAGCTATAGAAAGGACTGAGAGGATCCACTGGGAGAGCCTGAGTTTATGAGCGTTCCACCTTAATACTAACAGTTTTTAAGATTCCTCTTAAGGATGGGGTAAAAATACATTTTCTTCGTGGTAAAGGTTAAATACCTTGTTGGGAAATGAACACAAACCAGCTGATCAGAAATGACTGAAAACCTTTGTCAACTTTAAATTAGATTTCATTCTGGTTCACTCAAGAGTCCACAGCCTGCATGCACTAACTGTGTCCTTCCTCTAGATGTCAGTGTTGTTATTTTGTACTTGCCGGTAAAAGCATGCAGTAAATGTATAGTGTGTTTCTGTAACAGACCAAATTCTGTAAAAGAGATCATTTATTTGGAAACTGGAGTGTAATTGGTGTCTGATTTAGACTGCAAAGAACCCTCTGCACACTTTGGTGCAGTGAACGTATACAGCCATCCAGGGACCTGATGGAGGTCTCAAAGACTTGGATATGTTTTTTCAAGTTTTAAAAGTGCACAAACACAAGGCAGCAGATAAAATTAACAAATTAGAAATATATAAATTTAATATAAAATGTGACCAAATGGATACGATTTGTAAACAATAGAATCAATTTCACTGATAAGAAATAAAGAAATAAAGTCAAACCAGGATAAGCTCTTTAAGAAAAGTTCTATGAAATAGGCTGCTGGGTATTTTCATCTCTTTAGGGCCTCTAAAAATACTCAACTAAACCTAAAAGTCTCTATTTGGTTGACATTAATGTACGTCCACATTAAAGGGGAACCAATTTTACACATCAGTCTGTTTATAGTTGTTGGGCAGTGCTACTGCACATGTAAAAAAATTGTTTTGTCTGATAAATGTCCTCAGGTGATGTCACTTGAGTCAATGTAGGTTGGGCTACAAGACTGAAAATGAAAAGTTGGTGTGGAGTTAGAAAGAGGTGAGCTTACCAGATCTCTGTTGCCTGCTCCTCATCTCAGCCTGAAGCTAGCTGCTTGAGACTACATTAGCTACTAGCACAACACAAAAGTTGTATTGTGGGTAATGTAGTCTCCGCAGTGTGACAAGGGAGAATGTGTGGAATAAAAAAAGATAGTAACTGTGGCTCTGCCAATTCATTTTTTCTCTTATTCATAAGAGCAGCCAAAGATTGACAGAGGGGGGAGATCCATGCAGAAAATGTCTACTATCAACAAAGCACATTCCTTTAAAAATAAACGGTACAAATGGATCTAACTAACTTTTTTTTTAAACAAATATTCAGATAAAGCAGGAATTTTGCCTGCTAAAAGAATACTAAAAATGTTTTTGAACCTCCAAATGCAGCCAGGGAAGGGCCTAATCTGTCTCCATTTGGTTTCTGTTCCTCCAAACATTCAGTCCCTAAATTAAACCCAACTCCTGTGCTGTCAGCGTGGTCACCTCTCCAAACCTGTGCCTGCTGCTTGCTCGGGGTGCGTGACGAATAGAACAGACGCTGGTTGCTGCGAGCTGGCCGCTGAGTACCCTGTCTGAACGGACCAACAGGTTAAAATGGCTGCCGAAAGGAAGCGGGCGGTGCATCGGGGGGACGTCTGCCTTCTGTGTCCCTGGCATATTTGCTTCAAAAACGGAGATAAAAGGTTTGGATATATATTATTGGCGTACTCAGCAGCGAATTTTGATTTTAAAAGTAGCAGAGTACATCAGGTAAAATTACAGGCTTGAAAAAATACGACCCAAAAGAATTTCTTAATAACAGTAATGTGAATAGTTGCTTTCACCCCTGGATAAGGTTTTACTAGTAGACTTTTTATTATTTTACGGGGTCAAAACCAAAATAGGTTGGGAAACATTGCTCTAATATCAGCAAAAGATAAATCCTGTAAGACAGAGGGTGGTGATTTATGTCAAGGATGAGCAAAAATAACTAGAAACATCCCATATTTTATGTAATCCAGAAAATGTAACATTTTTAAACAAATTGCCAACATTGGCCTCCAGATACAACTGCCTAACACTCTTCTGTAGTGGTCCTGTCTCTTTCTCTCTCTCTAAATTTAAATCAGACGCTCCTCTCTGCATTCCAGACAAGTAAATAATTCTTGGAGAAACTTTTTTCTTTTGGTCTCATGAATTCTTGTTGCTTGATGTCTGCAGCCAAGAACCTCCTCCAGCTGAAGGATCTACACAGCGGAGCTGGCAGCGACTTCAACAGCTGCTGGGTGAGATAGCTGCCAGTCCGAGTGTGTTTGTGTGCGTTTGCTACAGAGAACCTGGAGAGCTCGGAGGTATGCAGCGAGGAAGGAGAAGATGCAGAGGAGAGAAGCTCATGCAAAAGCAGCTAATTCTTCCTCTTCTTTTGTGCTTTTCCTCTCACCGTCACCTCTGCTTTTTCTTGTTTTTGTTCTTCCTCCTCTCATGTTTCGTTTTTCATGTATTAATCTGGAAGGTTTCCTCATCGCTCCCCACGGATCCGATGCTTTCGTCTTTAGTCACTTCCTTCGTGTATGTCATTTATTTTGTACAGTATTACAGTATTTTTCTGTTGCACTTTGTTATATGTTCGATACATCTTTTCCATTCAGGTGCATGGAATCTTTGCTCTGTTCTGTTTTCTTCTTTTATTTCAATCGTTCATGTCTTTCTCTTTCTCTTTCTCACTTATATTGCCTACTTCTTCTCCCTCCACTCATCTATTTTTTCCTTCTCTTTTTCCATCATCTTCTATTCTCCCTCCTCTCTTTATTATTTTTTCTCTCATCTCTCCCCTTTTTCCTCCCCTTTTCTGCTCACCAGTCTCACCTTCTCTTCCTTTTCTCCCTTCTTTCATCTCTCCTTACCTTTCCTCCCCTCACCTCCCTCCATGCACTTTCCTTCCTCCTCTTCCTTTACCACTCCAGGTGTTTCTCTTTTCATCTCCTCTCCTGCTACTTTCTCATTCCTTCCTCTTATTTGCTTCTTCTCTTTCACTCATGTCCCTGTCCTCTTTCTTCCTTTTCTCCTCTCTCTGCAATGTTTTGTCCTCATGCCCTTCGCTCTCGCCTCCTCTCTGTCGTAGCAAAGATTAAATCTTGATATTGAACCATATTTTTAAGGAACACATGACACTTTAAACAAAACAAAAAAAATTTGTTGATGGCGCTCATGATGTTGTTCCCGTACGGACCCTTAGCCTCTACTGAAGTTCATTCATTGATTTCCGGCAAAGTAAACTAAAAACAGCAGGAGATCTAAATTCCAGGAAGGGAATCAGTGAGTGACACAGGATGGTAAAAACATGAATCAGTGAATGATTTAAGCTATGTGTCACGCCTTATTGTCCACATATGTGATTTCCAAATAATTTCCTCAAAAAAAAAAGCTTGTGTCGTGGGATCACATGTTGAATAAATACCATATAGTATATTTCCATGGGCCCGGTATAGCACCCTGTGGCATGCCGAATCATGCTGAGCTGTAATAAAATCCTCACAGCTGGGGATAACCATGTTGACCCTGTGCTATTGTGAACCTGCTTGGAAGTAGGACTAACTGGGGCCAACCTATGATGGTGTCAAGTCTCAACCAACCAACAATACATCAGACTTTAACACAGGAGATTGCTGTTTGTTTCCCAATTTCCTACCTGTCAGTCAATGTTGGTTTCTTTACATCGTGACCGCAGTGGTCCCCTGACCTTCACCACATGGCTTACTATTGTAACCATGATGACAAAATCTTAAAAAAATTGCAATTTGAACCCAAACCACAATCTTCCTAACCGTAACTGAGTCGTTTTTGTACCTAAATCTGACCAAACCTTAACCATAGTGTTGTCACATCATAAAACTG